ACACGAGCTGCTGAAATTTCTAGTCCTCGTTTACGTTTTTTTTTTTTTTTTTCAGGATTGGGGGGGGGGGGGGGGGTGTAATTGAGCCGCCTCGACTTGCATTAAAAATCTAGGAGTTAAATGTAGGTACATGTAGATTATGTACATTTGTTCTCAGTATATGTATTGTAGGTACATGTAGTATATATATGTATTTGTAGATACGCAGGTACTACTATTAATATTAGGTACATCTGTAGTACTATTGTAAAAGGTTTGTGGCTAGTGCCTGCAATGAGATCGGTGCCACAATGAAGAAACTACACTGATTGGGTAAAATGCTTCAGGCATCATCTAAGACTAAGACCAAGTCGGTGGTAACGGTCTGTAGGTACATAAGAGTTTACTATATCAATACCTTGGGTGAAACCAAAACCTGAGCCGCCCCGGCCGGCCTGCAGGATGTCTCCGTGTAGATGTGTTATGATGAAGTATGTCATATATGCACTTCCGGAGATATAGGGTGTTTCAGTATTAAAGTCTTTGTATGTATGCCTAATACTAGGCCCATTAATTACGCCTAGTTTTAAGGCGAGTGAGTAAAGGTTTAATGTACCCTTTAGATCTGAGGGTTGAGTATCTTCTAGGTCAAACTTTTCAAAAGAAGGCCCCACAACGGCTCGAACAGATCGGACAATAGGCTCATAATATGTAGTATGGCAGGACAGCAAAAAGGGTACCTACATGTACATACATGCATGTAACCCTCAGATCTGAAAAATATATTAAACCCAAGGGTGTTTTACACCCACTCCTTATTAGTCAAGTTTAGATTGAACCTTTGCTCTTATTATTTATTTACCATCTATTGTTACTCGATATTGAGTCACAAGAAATGGGCGATCGACAATCGATGACTGTGTACAAAGTATGTGGTATCCAACTGAAAAGACAACTTGGTGAATTTTCTTCAGCAGTATTATCCTAAATGCATGATAAAATTAATTAGGCGATGTGGCTATCCAACTGGTCTACTATTCAACAATTCCGGCGGCAACAGTTTGTCCACCGCTTCGCAATACCACCCTGTAACCCGCCTCCAATGGAATCGGGTTACCCATAAGCTCTACCTTTACAGTCGCCAGTGACCCAGCGGTGATATGCCTTGGCCTTTTCTTCAGAACAACACCAGTTGCTTTATCTAGTGTTGAGAGAAGATAAACAACTTTTCCTGGCGCGTGAAGCCGTCCTCTGTGAACATCAACCATCATGGGCGTGAGTCCTTCGAAGGCAAGTATTTTTATCGTGAATGAACTTTGGGGAGTAACACGATTTGTTGGATCGCAGAGAATATCACCCTCCCTATGAAACTTGTCATCACATGTTCATACAAGCACTTGAATGTATTGTGGTTATACCTTAAATGTACCATATCGATATTGGATAGGTGAATAACAACATTGTGACCAGCAACCGCCCAATCAGTGGGCTCTTCATCAACTTCGATTGCCTTGATAATTCCACTTTCGCCACTAGGTATGGCAACGATGTTATCCCCAACCTGAAGATTCCCGGCCTCTATTCGGCCAGAAATAGAGACTGGGTTCATAATTCCACCTTTGAAAACATCCGAGATTGTAAGTCGTAATGGCTTTTCGATTGCGCGCGTTAGGGGCTTCGTTTTTTCTACGCGTACCGAAGTGATGAAATTAGCGTGATGATTAGATAGGCATAATTGAGCGTGGATACTCTACCAAGTTCTTCTACTAATGTTGGCCCGGAGTACCAAGGAATGAGGCCAGATTTCGGTTTCTTCACGATATTTCCACCTGTCAATCCACTGCAAGGTATGAAGCTGATATTTTTTGAAGCAAACCCAGCTTGTGTAAGAAATTGGGTCATCTGCTGCTCGATCTCTTCGAATCGCTCATGGGACCATTCTACCGAGTCAAGTTTATTTACGGCTACGATTATCCGTTGAACACCCATACTTCTGACGAGGAGTGTATGCTCCTTGGTTTGCCCCCTCAAGTGGAACCCAGCTTCAAAGGCCCCAGTTGAAGAATCAATAACAAGCACTGCAAAGTCGGCCTGGGATGCACCAGCAATCATGTTTGGAATAAAGTCGCGATGACCCGGGGCATCTACGATCGTAAACCGAGCCTTTTCGGTCTCAAATTTGTTCACGGCGATATCCATTGTAACCCCCCTGGCAGGAAGCCAAAGTTAGCGTTCAATATATTTCAGGACATAGAGCTACGATACCTGCTTCGTTCCTCTTCTGTTTGGTCCAGAACCCAAGCGAGTGCAAAGGACGATTTTCCTATCTTCTCTGCTTCCTGTTTAAACTTTTCAATTGTTCGTTGATCCACTACACCAGTGTCTAAAAGGAGTCTCCCCATGAGAGTACTCTTCCCAGCATCGACGTGCCCTATGATACGATAAACATAAGCCATTTCGTTCTCAGGTTCCGTGGACGGAAATCACAGACCTATCACTACAAAGTTTGCGTTTTCTTTCGCCGTTGAATTTTTATATTCTTGAAGAACATCAATCTTTTTTCGCTGCTTCACAGGTGCATTGTCAATATTGACTGCTTGTATGGCTGCTTCAACTTTCTTCAACGCTTTGGCATCTGCCAAGGCTTTCGGGTCATTCTTAGAAGCAGCCTTTCCATTCAAGCCTAGGAGTAATATCTATGTTAGACTAACCTTGAATTATATTTGCTAAATTTTCAGGACAGAATTTACTACCTTTACTAGAACTTTGGGCAGCAACAACTACATCATCCGGACTTGGTCCAGAGAATGCACTCGTAGGAGCTCCTGGTAACGAGAACATACGTCTGTCAGTGACCTCAATTTCATACACTGATGCAAGCCTATCTCCAAACATGGACAGCGCAAATTTTGATGGCCCAGCTCTTAGATCTAAAGCAGGAACAGAACCCTCTTGTTCCTGGGCAGGGAAAGACCGCTCTTCTGGCTCTTTTCTTGCCGATTGGTCAAGGCTCTGGCTAGGCTGATTATGTATGGGGCTCGGTGCGAGCAGCGGCGGAGCTCTGGTATTTGGGGTTTCGGGAAAGTTCGTTGATTGGACATCGATATCTGCTGTTACTACAGAAGATGGCGCCTGAACAGGTGGAGATGATTGTTTTGCTGAGAGACGTGACAGCATAGATACTGCGGTGCTTTTTTCTCCGTCAGGGGATGTCTGCTGAAGAAGAAGCTTTTTTTGAGCATCCGCCTTTTCCTTTCTAGCCTTTGCCAAAGCTGCAAGTTTCGAGGTCTTTCCCCCGGCTGGTCCACCCGAACCTCCGAGGAGTCCGCCAAAAGGGTGCACAGGTTGGACCAAGATATATCCCTTACGATCTTCCGGAATCATCCCCCAAGGTGCATCCGCAAAAAGTCCATAAGCCACCGCAGACATCTTGGGCGCCTCGTGATTTCCGAAATAGCCTTGACCTTGACCAATCCCTTAGATGAGCTCTGAGCATCCTGTACAATCAGTGTAGGAGTGATGCACCGCTTTCAGATGGGCACCTTAACGAAGAAACAGGGCTGAAGGTAGGCAAATTGTGAACGGGGAAATTAAACTACCTTTGCTGGCTTGGGACTTTTTCTTTTTGGTAGGTTTTCCGTGTTGGTCTATTCAAGCAGTCAGTATCTTGTGTTTCTGCGTTTCCTAGTGGTAAGTGGCAGATGCATTACTCAGGATATAATTAACGGTCTTTTCAACATCGAAAAAATAGTACCACAAAGACTCTTGGATTTCCTTGTCCGTTGCTACCTCATTGCCCAGTATCTCTCGTACTTTTCGCAAGCCCACGTTTAACTGATCTATTATGCACATTAACATTAAACTCTTAGCAATGTACACCCTAGTAGTGAGAGAGAAGGAGCTGTAATACGTCTATCACTTTCGCTCATTTCTGTTTTAATAGTTTATTAGAAGGTTTTCACAATTCAGAGCACTTGGTAGGTACACACCACCGGAGCCATCATCGTAATCTTCGCCATCGTAGTCGTATAATTCTGCAGCGCTATTATATTAGGAACCGCAGTTGATAGAAATTAAATTCCCAAGGGCATGCCTTCATCTAGGTCCAGATTTCTAACATTCTTGTGTCGCGACATGACGAATGATGGGTGCGGATCTTTGGGCGTATATGTGTGGAGGAGATGGCGGGGTTGGTTGCAGGCTGTACTAGTAGAGGAGCTATTCGCCAAGAGCCGTTATTGTCGATCAGTTATGAAATGCAGACGTATCCGATCCGACAGGGTAACGTAGAATCCCACTATTATTCTTCAAGCTAAGGTGATGTATTTTCGGTTGGAAATCCTACTTATCTCCCAACGTCCATCAGATACATGATTGGTGCTGTAAGCATTATGGGTGTTGTGTAATGTTTTTAATTGTTTCAAGTATTTCATATTCTTCTGACATAGACATGCCACCATGGCCGAGTGGTTTAAGGCGGCACATTTAAGTTCTTCAAAACTGAACTGTGCTATCGAAAGATGCGTGCGTTCGAACCGCACTGGTGGCAATACCTCAAATTTTTTAACCTTATCTTTCCCACTCTCGGTTTCATGTCGCTGTATCCAGATAATTCTTATATAATTTTCCTCAGAAAAAAGTCTTGACTCAGCTCGCCTCAATATGGCTATCGATATCATTTACGAGGGGACTTGAGGTTGAATCAAAGTTGACGGACGTTATCTAGCGTTATCGATAGGCGTATGCACGGAGTCGTCATACAACCTAGATGGGCTAGGACCGGGTAACACCCACTCTAATAGATGTGATTTTCTGCATTTATTTCACCTTGCAAAGCTTGTTCTTTACGCAAATACGAAGTGATTCAATATTTAAACTAAAATAGGTCCGTACAATGCAGGCCCCATCCTCAAACCAACTAACATAATAATCATTACCCAAGGTCTGAAATGACCACAAAAACCCACTTCGTACCAATACATCATTAGGGAAAAAAGAAAAGGAAGATATGTGTAGGCGATCTACAAGTCGATCAAACTCTCTTCTACTGCTTTTGGCTGTGACTGTGGTGGCGGGTTTTGAACAGGGGTAGATGCCGAGGCTTCGCTCACACCGTGAGGAGGAGGATATGTATATTGTCCACCACCGGGAGGTGCATTAGACCCTTGCTGCCAAGGTACTTGTTGTTGTGAATGAGGTGAATATGGATATTGATATCCAGGCTCCTGTCCAGCTTTAGGATACTGCCAGTAAGAATTTTCTTGGGCAGGCTGTGAAGTTTGCATGGGCTGTTGATGCTGTGCCGAGGGCCCTGTGTGCTGCTGATGGAGAGGCTGCTGTCTCGAAATTGGTGCTGACGGGGGCTCTGAAGGCTGTTGGGTAGGAGTCACGGTGGAATCGTTTTGTGGTGGGGGATTGGGATTGTCGTAGCCGTTATATTGGTATGGCGCTTGAGGAGTAGATGTTTGTTGATACTGTGTTTGCGGGTTTGGCTGTGGTTCGGGCTGTCCAGGAAATGACCCTTGTTTGTCGAACGTATGCGGCTGGGTATAATAGTTTTGATAGTTTGTTTGTGGAGGAGGGTAGTTATTCTGAGGAGCGGAAGAATCGCTCCTACCATAATAATTTTCGGCCGATGGCAGCTTTGGGTACGCATTACTACTAGCTGGGGGCTGTTGGTATGGGGCTGGCGATGATACACCGTGCCGCCCATAGGTGTAGCTAAGCCGCTCCTCTAACATCCGATCGTAATAGCGGACAACTGTTCCCAGCTTTGCATGAAGATCGCACAACGCCTCTGTAGTTTTAAGACATTAATTCAAGTTAACGGTTTGGGGGGGGGGGGGGGGGTTATATTACCATATTTGCTCATAGTTTCACCAAATGTTCTAGCCAACTTTGGCCTTAACGTCCCAATACTTTCATACAATTCTTGAATCTGCGGTTCCCTTAAGATCGTTCCTGGTGGCTGAGTCTGCAATCGGTCCACTAGTGTTGCGAACAGGTTGATGTTCTCCGCCTCTCCCGGACTCAACTCATGGTCAGGCCTGCGCGCTATATTGGCTTGAAAAGCGGTGGATTTTGCAGCAGCACTGGGATTTGACCAGGCTGATTTGGCCTTCTGCACCTCCATGTCCCTTAGGCTCGCGGCAATCGCGGCTTTTAGCTCTTCATCCTCGTCTTCTTCAGGGGGATTCCCCTCCCGGGTGTGTTGTTGAGCGGATTTTGAAGGCTGCGCTTCGGTATATGAGGCCACTGAAGTAGCTTGAGTAACCTGCTTTTGGGCCTGCAACTGCTGCTGCGAAACATAACCGGCGCTTGCTTTACCCGTAGCCTCCTCCAGCGACATTTTTAGAGCCATTTTAAGATCTTCATCGTCATCATCTTCAACCCTAGCATTTCTTGGTTGCATTGGGGCAGATTGTGCTTTGGGCTTCGAAGTCGAATGCCTTTGACTATGACCTCCATGATGCTTTGGAGAACCCACAGGAGCCACAGGAGCTCGTCGTTCTGTCAGTTTTGTATGACATCCATCACAAACACGCACAGCCTGAACTATTCCAATGTGTGGCAATGGTATTGACTTTGAAGAACAGGTTCCACAGAAGGTATTTCCACAGTTACGGCAGTGGTGCTTCCTGTTCGTGAAAGTGAAAGGGGTCCGACAGCGCATGCAAACATCCGAATCGGTCCAATCAGGTGGCTGACAAGTTTTATTAGCATCAGCCAAAATCTAACTAGATTAGACAATATACCGCTGATGAGTCTACAAAGGTCGATGAAACCTTGGTTGGGGGCGGGAAACGAAAGTTTTCTGTTTGTAGTTGACGGTATATCTGGTTTGCGTAAGACAGGTGGGGCTGCCCTTCAAAAGCAGAGGCCCAAGTTTGGATAAGCTCCAGCATTTTAGATTCGACTTTTGGGTCAATCGGGTAAGGAGCCTTCAATAGAGAAACGAGATTATCCATGAATTCACGAGATGCAATCTCAGTGAGAAAATGGGAGCCACCATTCTTGACACAAGTATCAGTAAGCTATGGAATCAAGACGGTCAGTTCGTTCTAGGCTTTCTTCATTATTGATCGGGATCATTATATCAGAGCTCACGTTTAAGGCTGCTAGCTGAATGTTGGGATTTTTGTGCCCTATGCGTTTTCTCAACGAGCGCATAGCTTCCTTAGGCTGTACAGTCTTGCTCCGAATAATATCGGATATCTCGAGATTTAGTGCCATATCCTCCCTACTCAGCCGTCAGCTTTGATGTGAAGCCTGAGACCTCATGGTGTAAAAGAGGTCGGTCGAAAATGTTTGTGATAGAGAGGGGACAATACAGGCTTGATCCGGTAGCTTTCTCGACCTGGTCATCCAGGGAGGAGTTCGAAGCTGTAAACCATGAAGCCATTACTTCGAAGGGTGCTGTTACTATTACTGTTATGCAGAGAGAAGGCGGAGTGATGCTAAGTCGCCAAATGATTGCGACGCTGGATGGAAGCACGCAGCAGCTTAGAGCTACGAATGAGCCTGAGAATCAAATGAATGATATATAGAGATTGCAGCTATGATGCAGCTCTTCCTCGGAAGGGGGGGAGGTGAAATCTGCGGTTTGGGATGGGATAAAGAAATGCTTAGGATGTAGGTGGATATGAGGACGAAGCTGGTGCAGATCGCTGCTTCACCAACTTGCTTGACTGATGCTGCGTCGCCCCGCCGTTACATAAGCTAGAAGAGACGTATGCCTTAGCACGTGATGACTACTAGTATGTAAACCCTGTTGCGCTAAAGCTTAAGGGTCCAGCATAAACGAATCTCTTGGAGACGCGCATACTAGGTTATGAAAGCTGTGAACGACACAAACAAAACCATCATATAGAGACCTGCGTGTAGTGATCCGGTAAGAGTATTTGCCTGTATACATATATTTATGTGCAGGCATCTGCCTACATGTCGAAGTGAAGTGCTAGGAAGCACGAGTAGGTATATGCACCTCGGCCTACATGTACTTATTCTGGGGGCCAGTGCAAATTTAAGATCATCGATTTGGGGTATTTGAGAGACCCCTGTTGGTAGCTCGTCGTTTAAACGAAATATGTGCTCCTACATATGTACTTCTATGATACCTACTCTACCTAGGGGTGCTAATTTTCGTTACGCAGGTAGAGTATGATTTACTTTAGAATACGTGCAGAGTACCTGTACTTACTAGCTGGTAGTGTCGACTTAGCTGGGGCACCTCCGAAATCCTGTTCCGGCGGCTCCACCACAATCACAATCCCACACTCCCCGCCATCTCTCCTCCGTTCAGCTTACCTCCTCCACATCATCAGAGGACTCTCCCTGCGATGCGAAATAACCTTTTTTACCTCACGATTCGATAGGGATGGACTCCAATACACCCCCTCATCCACTTCGTGGTCCACCAGCAATGCCTTCTGCAAAGTCACAACGAATATACCCTCACATCAGCGATCTTCAGGCCCGGTCAGATGGCCTCGTTCCTATGAAACGCTCGGTAACTTAATTTAGACTCCTAGATATTTTAAGTATGTCTAACTGGACCCGTGTACAGATCAAGTCGTGGGTTGACGAAGCCAAAATCCACTGGCGGCAAGCAAAATGGCATTATGAGTTTGGGAGGTTGGACTCGGCGTACTGCGATTTTGTCATGGCCAACACCATCATAATAAAAACTATCCCGCAATGTGCAGATTATCCTACCTTTGCATCCGGCAAACGGGGAATGGCTTTCATGGAATATAGCAAGCTGAATGAGGTATATACCCTGGTAGAACAGATATTCTTCGATTTTGCTAACTGGACTCGAAAGGAATTAAAAGCAAAAACTCCCCTCTATCTCAAAGTAAAAGAAGAAATCAAGAAAGATAATGAGCTCTCTGGAGTTCAGAGTGCAAATGCCCAGCTTGAAGCCGAGAGGGTTGCGGAGAGGGTTAGAGCTACCCTCCATCCAGAGACTGGGGTGTCTCAAGACATTCCGCCGAAAACGAAGCCGGAAGTCCGAGCGAAACCAGAATACCTGTCAATGGGCAAAGAACGTAGGTCTAAATAGCTTATGTTATAAAAGACCCACTGACACGAAACAGATTCTCGAACAGGCTCTGGGGCCAAATCCCCACAGCTGAATAGTCAAGGGATTGTTCCGACGTATGGAAAATCTTCACCCAATGCTCTAGATAGTACCTTAGATTTGAAGCGTCGGTTGGAGAGATTGACTACAACAACTTCCAGATCAAGTTCACCAGCGTCGCTCTCACAGCTAGTCCCCACGACTCCACCCACGGTCGTTCGCGGTCCTCGAGAGATGCCGGCAAAATTGCCTCCGTTAAACGTGAATGCGATGCCTACGTTACCCCCCCCTACTTATTCCCCAGCCACTAGTCATGGGGGTATGTTGCCTTCGCGAAATGCATCACTCCCTTCTACTGACGGGAATGGTGCGTCCCGCCAACCAAAACCCAGTTTTCCGAATGATACGATAATATCGGTGGATGCTCTATACAGTTATCTAAGCAAGGAGTCACAAGTTACAATCCTCTTACTAGATGTTCGTAGTCGAGAGGAATTTGATGAGGGGCATATCTACGCAAGATCAGTAGTTTGTATTGAACCTATAGTTCTTCGTGACGGGTAAGACTGAAAATAGCACTCGAAAAATATAATTCGATTATCCTGACGTCTTTTAGAATGTCCGAAGATGATTTGGATAGAAGTTTTGTTCTAGCACCATCAAAAGAACAAGAATTGTTCAGTGCAAGAGACAAATACGATATTGTGGTTTATTACGATCAATCCATGGCCAATAAAAACTTTCTTTCTGGCCTGACACAGGACGAACATCAGATAGCTCTTCGAAGCTTGCATATGGCCATTTACGACTTTGCTTTTAGGAAACGATTGCAGAGGGCACCGATGCTACTACTTGGAGGCCTTGATGCTTGGATAGAGTTGGTTGGGAAACATTCCTTGAAAACTAGCGATACCGCAGAACTTGCAAAGTCAGAGCCAACATCTAGGCCTTCAAGTCGGGTAGGAAGGCAATCTATATCGCTCGAAAAACCTCGCAGTGGTATTGGAGTTATACGAGATACGTCACCAAGCGTGTCTGAGAACCGGTTATCATTGGCCAAGAGGCGGCAGGATCGTGATCCCCAAAGAGGTTCCATGCCACTGCCAGTGCAAAGGGTGAGTTATGGTAGGAAGCAAGAACCCACACCAGTCGACCCCATAAATATTGAAGAAGAGCAGAAATGGATGGATAGGCTACAGAGGGAAAGAGAACCCCTTACTATCAGTGTCCCACCCGTATCTCCACATCCAGATGCCGATGTTGAATCAAAAAAGCGGCGGCGAGGAACTTCTATAGTCGCGGGGAATGACAATTTCTCGACTGGATATGTTAGAACAATGGAGGAATTTGTCAGTCTGCTATTGTTATATTTCTATCACTGAGAAGAAAAGTAGCCCTAACAAGCATCTTAGTTCCAACGGTATCCTGCACAACCCTCGATGTCCCCTATCCCACCAACACCGATAAGTGCTGGAACTCCAATAACTCCACGCGGACAACACACGATCATCGACCACCCGTTTTATGGGTTTACTGATGTCCGTAATCCAGACTTCAATCCCCCGCCCACTCCAATCAGACCACCACCTGCAGTTCCACGAAAGAGCTATAGCGGAGTCTCAGAGCGTCTTGCCCCGCCTATACCCCCGCCCCTTCCCCCTGCCCCCGAAATACCGCCGAGGCCACCTAAAATCCCACTTATCCCAGATGGAGAATCAGGCTCGCCATTTCGAACAATTGGGAGCATCAATATTGGTAAAACTGGATTAAAAAATTTGGGAAATACCTGCTACATGAACGCAATACTGCAATGCATGAGTGGTACAATACCACTGTCGCGATACTTTTTAGATGGGAGTTACAGAAGTCACATTAACAAAGACAATCCGCTCGGATCTCGAGGAGTTTTGGCAGAAGCATTTGCAAGTGTGGTAAAAAACTTGTGGAGCGGTGAATACAAATTCATCTCTCCTGTGACGATAAAGGTTAGGCGCAAGAGATATATTTCCTAAAAGGGTTTTTACTGATGCGAGCCATAGGATGTGTCTGGTCGATTGAATGAAATGTTTAAATCAGATGATCAGCAAGATGCCCAAGAATACCTTGAGTTCCTATTGGATGGGCTGCACGAAGATCTTAACCCTTACGCAAATCGAACTAAACTCAGGCCTTTGACAGACGAGGAAGAAAGGCGACGAGAGACCCTTCCTCAGCAAACAGCATCGCATTTGGAGTGGCAACGCTATATCCATTCGAACTTTTCGGTCGTCGTAAATTGGTTTCAGGGTCAACTAAGTAGTAGGCTCATGTGTTTAACGTGTGGTATCACTTCGACCACATATAGCGGATTTATGTATCTCTCGCTTCCAATACCTTCGAAAAGGGGAGGATTTACCCTCGCGGACTGCTTGGAGGAGTTTGTGAAAGAAGAAATACTCGAAAAAGATGACGCTTGGCATTGCCCGAATTGCAAAAAGGCTCGGAAAGCTACGAAGAAACTCACTATCACTCGCCTACCTCACATTTTGATTATTCATCTAAAACGGTTTACAAATCGGGGTCTATGGCGGGATAAACTCAACACAATGGTTCAATTTCCTTTGAAAGACTTGAACCTAACAAAATACGTACCACCTTTATTGCCCAGGGGTGCACTGGGCCCCAACGCCCCTGAACCTAGTGCCGAAGTGACGCCGCCTTTTATGTATGACCTTTACGGGGTATGCAACCATTATGGAACGCTAAATGGAGGTCACTATACGTCCTTTGTGAGAAATAATCATCAGAATGCTTGGAATCATTTTGACGACAGCAAGGCAAGCTTTGTTGACGATTCTGCAGTAGTGGTAAGCAATCTATTTAAGTCACTCCACAACTTTTCTGATAATCATATAGTCTCGGAATGCATACGTGCTTTTTTGGGTCCGGTCAAATGTTATGTGATTATTCTAGAGGCGTTAGTGTTACTGTCTGTGAATAATTGGACTTCTGTTTACCTTGCACTAGGCTTTGGGGGAAATTCTATCCTTTGTCTAATTTCATTTTTTTTATTCATTCTTATAACTTCTGCTACCTGTTTGTCTGAACGTAGATCCTTTGTAGATATGTTTATGAGCGCATTATTGCTTTATCTGTCTACGGGACAATACCAGAATACATAACTACATGTATGTAATATGTACTCTTCTAAAACTAGGTAATGGAGGATAGAATCCGGACGATTTCATTCGCAATAACATATTCGGGCAGCTAGGGGTGTATGAAAGACAGCCCAGACCTGGAAACCTGATAGACGAGACCAGATAAATGGATAATCTCAACAGCCAGTTTTTCTTATGTAGATAGACGTCTCATTTTTCTTGCCCTGACTATTCTGGTAGTTACATAGGACAGTGTCTCTGTATACATGTAGTTGAAAATAGAAGATCGTATACGCCAAGACCGAGTGATATATTATGAGCGAGACACACACAATTTGACCAAAAGCCCAGGCACTTATACAAGGACAACGCTTTTAAAAGGGAAGATAATAATAAACTCTAGTGCTAGAGCTACAAACACTTTATCGGGAAGTGAAGTTGGGTCTCGGCATTTTTTTCTCTTGAGCTCAGATTTTTCAGTACCTCGCTATGCTCTATCATCATATTGCGGGTGACAGCTGGAAAGGTGCTCTCGTTTCAACACCTAAAAAACGGGCTGCTAGGTAGTTTTGGAAATAGTGGGACGTAGTTTATGTGGCGAAAAGTTTGAAACCAGAGCACTCTTCCAGCTGTCACCCTCTATATATCGGTTAGTGTCGGTGGGGCTTTGGAGGAAAAAGTAACAGACCCTAATCTTTTAACTGGTATCAGACATAGATAGCGCTATATCCTAAATTATCATTCCGTGATCTGATAAATTGAACGACAGAAATGTTATGGACTGCATTGGCCAATTTGTTCACTTGATAGTTTCGGCGCTACAAATGAAATTTGGTTCAATTCTTAGGTACACTATCCCGGCAGTTGTCTCCATTGTACCTTGTAACATAATAAGTTCCGAAAAGCGACTATATATATGTATATCATAAGCGGAACGGTCTTTTCTTTTGTAAATCCCAATCTCACGTCTGCTAGTCATGTCTCGACAAGCCCTGGAGTTAAAAGGATTCTCCACTAATTCTAAGACATCCTACTCATCCATAACTTAACTATAATCTTCAACCGGACCATCAACCATCAATCCTCAACCCCCGACCCAACGGGTCTAAGAACCCTTAATTTACGAGACTGTCCCGCTGCCCGGTAACCCAAAATTATAAAACTTGGCTTAATGGTCTTTCCTAGGAAACCAGGAGAACCCTTGTATCACCAACACGAATCCATAAATATAACTAGAATATACATCTCTGTATGTATGAAGCTTGTAGTGGTTGTAGTTGATCGATAAAAGATGAACCGATTCTTAGCTATATACATGTACATATCATCCCCGATATGGGAAAGAGGCAGAGCCTCAAAGCTTGGTGATGGCCCGTGCGCGAGCTGAGCCGGGTAATTTCCGGGAAAGCGTTGAAAGTTACAAACCTCCGGACAACAATTACCTCCGTAAGCTTGCTGCAAATATTATCCTGCTCAAATCTATTCCGATACCTCCGCAACGCATCCACTGCATCCACCATATACCAGAAAGCGATAATTCACCATGGCGGCAGGTTTGTTGCCCTCATTGTTGGCCTTCTGCAGCACTTTTTACTAATTCCCAGTGCGCAAACAGAGCAACGCAGGCTCCTCGAGCAGGTAAATCCGCACCTCATAGCACTTACGCGTAAAATAAAGCGCGGTACTGACATATGCTCTTAGCTGATGGGTACGCCCAATCAAACAAACTCATCGGTACCTTTCACCGACCCGTCGGTTTGTCGGAGTTTTCTCGTAGGAACCTGCCCACACGATCTCTTCACGAACACCAAGGTATTTACGGCCGCCCCGCCGCCGTCGCTGCTATCATACTTGGCCAATTCTAACAAACGTAATAGCAAGATCTAGGGCCTTGCAAAAAGACGCACCTTGAAGCCCACAAGCAGGAATATGAGCGCGAAAAGAAGAACCGCGACTTTGGATACGAGTACGACTACCAGCGCGACCTTCAACGCTACATCGACGAATGCAATCGACGTATAGATGCCGCGCAACGCCGTCTTGATAAAACACCTGACGAGATAACCAAAACGAACTCGCTGCTAAAGCACATTAGCGACCTAGACAGCTCGATCTCTACAGGGCTACAGGAGGTAGAAGTACTTGGTGAACAGGGTCAAGTAGCAAGAGCGCTAGAGGAGTACCACAAAGTTAAAGTCGCAAAACAAGAAAAGGACAACAAAGAAAAGGAATTGAAGCAGCTTTCAGATAGCGCAGGTCCGAGCGGCCATCAAAAGCTCCAGGTGTGCGATGTTTGTGGGGCATATCTTTCTAGGCTAGATAATGATCGCCGTCTAGCGGATCATTTTTACGGAAAGGTAAACAGCTAGTGATTAAACCGTACCCGCTAAATGAGATACTAACTACAATCCCTTGGACAGATGCATCTAGGCTATGCCCAAATGCGAAACACCCTCAAGAAGCTCCAGGATGAACTTGTGAGTCGTGGTCCGCCTCCAGGACATCATGGCGGAGGGGGGCGGGAATTTCGCTCGGACGACAGACACGACGGTGGAGGGTACAGCAGAGATGGGCCTGGAGGCTACCGCGGAGGCGGCGGCGGTGGGTTCAGAGGCGGGAGAGGCGGTGGTTATAGAGGGAGCAGAGGTGGCGGTGGAGGTGATGGATGGGGTAGTCGTGGTAGCTCCGGTGGCGGAGGGGGGGGGTATGGAAGAAGGGGCGGCGGCGGTGGGAGTGGGTGGTAAATCCCCAATTGTCCTATATCCCTTCTTATGTTCTTGCTTTCATCGGAATGTAACACTATCAATCCTTCTTGTCCCTTGTTTTTCTTTTCTTTAGCAAGATTTGGCGCATCTTGGGGGGTGGGTCGGTCTAATTTTTCCCAGTATAATATCTTCCTAACTATGAAGAGGCTTCTTAAGCATGAATGACCCTCATGAAACATGTAATAAACTTGAACAGATGAAAATTGGATGTTTCGAACCTCAAACCAACTCCGGGCCTGCAATTTAATATACCATACATAATTAATCGTTCAAGGAAAAAAACAATGTGTATAACATCAAGAAGCCGATTCAACTTGTTCCGCCCATGAATCCCCACCGACAGCAGGGGAGAGTGGAGTTAAATTATCCCCGACGTTGTACTTGGTATCCAAACCGCCTATTGCGGGAGACTTCTCGGGGGCCTTTACTTCTGAAGAAGCATTGTTTTCTGTAGGAGCTTTGCCCTCTGTAGGTATTTCTCCTTCTGCGGGAGTCTTCTCATCTGTGGAAGGCTGGTCTTCCAAGCTTGTGGGTTGATCATTGGTAGGTGTTGCAAGCTTTGGGGCGGCTTCAGCCTGAGTCGATGTATCTGCAGAGGCCTTATCCTTAGATGCTTTGGGGAGGGCAGGCCATTCTTGTGTCGCATTTGGGTTCCTAGGCGCTTCTCTAGGTGCTGCAGCCTCCCTGTTAGAACCCGAAGCTCCACGGGGGCCACTAGGGGCACCACGGAAGCCGCCCGGAGAACCACGGGGACCACTAGGGGCGCCACGGAAGCCACCCCCCGGAGGACCACGGCTAGCAGGTGAACCACGTGTAGAGTTAAAGACACCCCCGTATGCACCTCTACGAAATTGTGAAGATCCTTTTCTGGGATTATAATCTTCCTCGGTTTTTGTTGAGTCCCATTCCCGACTATTAACGGCGTTGAGTTTCCTTTCCCTATTCTTCGCTCGCTCGTCGCTATCGAAGAGTTAGCAAGGTCTCCGAGTGATATATTGCGCGAATGACCGGTGTCAAACGTACTCCAGCTCTTTTCTACTCCTTTCTTGCTCAACTTTTTTCTTACGCTCAACAATTCGCTTAGTAGCATCAGCCTGCTTTCGCGCCTCTTCTTGTACCTGGAAAGAGTTTTCATCCTCTTCAGCCTTACGGCGGCGCTCAATCAGACGCTCGTTGTTGAGTTTTGCACGTGCCATACGTTCCGTAAGCTCCTCTTCTGTAAGTTTGGCCTTTGCTTATTTTAGTTGTTGAAAAGGTAGGATTGGGGGGTAAGATATTATGGGAAATCGTTCGTAAACCAGCAGTAAAGTGAGAATAAATAATAAGTGTAATTGTGTAGATGGCTCAAATACCTTCTTCAAACCACCAGAAAGGGTTCGATCCTGCTTTTGCTACCCAATCGATTGGTCTGTTAGATAAGCTTTATAGAGTCACTGGAGATCACTCACCTGTTTTAGGGCATCTTTGGGCTCTGCGGCCGGGCCCTCCGGCGCACCTTCTACAACCTTTACTTCTTTTGGCGGATTTCTTTGATCGACACTTCTCGGTTGCTTTTCTAGAGGTCAGCGTCGTATGCAAAGAGCTATAGAACAAATTTCGCTGCATACAAGACCACCTCTCCCACCACTACCACCTCCACCCCCCCCGCCCCTGTTACCCGATCCACCCTTTGATAGAAAAGCCCGTGGCTCAGTGGGCGCACTCGGGGGTGGATTCTGGGGAGGCGAGACCTCGGCTGCGGATAGGTCATATGCTTCACGGGTCTGTGCAAAACTGTCATTGTCCATAATTATTTGTGTGGACAGAGACGGATGGGAAATGAGAATGATGATTGAGGGTAGGCTAGCTCCTTGTTGCTTATATATATGTGTGTGTGTTCTATGAGTAGGATGACGATTGGAGTTATAGACGGTCCTGCAACGACGAACGATTGATTGCAAGTGATACGACGCGTCGGGTGCCTTAAAATGTGGTTGCGGGGTTGTTGTGTTACATCACTTTGCTAATGGAGGGGCTCCCTGTTCTGTTTACCCGGCCGTGGAGTACTACTGTAAAGTAGTAATGATTGCACCGCCCAGATTTTGTATGTATGCATGTAGCCAGTCCTTCGTAGTGTGACCCAACACTTGGTACTCTACACTAGGGGTGTGCCACCTCGCGACCGCGAGTTGTTACGTTTAGCACAATTGAGTCTTCCCAGTAAACATGGATTTGAGTGAGTTGCAATTCAAAGTATCTCCTGATCCCTCAGATTATTAGGGTAGCCACCTTAGGACTGTGAGGTCTTGATCCTGCTCAAGAAACTCTTCCACCTCCGTGTATTAGTTGACCACCTCCAGTAGTTAATTAATTTTGCCCTTAGCCATCTCATAGCCAACTCCCACCCAGTTGACCATAGCCAGCTCCCACTCCATTAACCATATCCAGCTCCCATAATTGACGATGGCCAGCTTCCGTTGTGGACTATGGCCAGATCCCGCAAATGTCCACCTACTCCGTAATAGTGATCCAGTTCTAAAAGATATATACCTATCTCACACCTCCAGGAATAGCCACCTCCAGTGCCACCTCCAACGCCAATCTGTAGATGAGTCTCTAGTCCCATGGCCACCTCTAATGCTACCGGCTTTCTATACCACCTTCAACGCCAATCTGTAAATGAGTCTCCCTTGAGCGCCATCACGAACCACTATTTAAACAATAATAATAATAACCCATAATAATAATAACTCATTCTATCTATATGATTTATTTGAGTTCGGCATGCCAGTGCCAGTGTCACTTTTGTAGTTTGTGCTTACTAAACAACCCCTGTCGCTGTCGACCAATCAGACTGCAAGACCCTCTGAAGAATCGTCAAGCAGGTTGGACAGAAAGTCTAGCTGTTTTCGGAAGAGACTTGCAGTCGTTCAACCAACAAGATGTGCAGGACTTTTTGTCGCAGTGCTCGGCTTTCTGTCCAACTCTTGCAGCTAAAAGACTCTAATGAGAGTACTACTCGCGAAGACCTAATATTTGTTTACACGTTTTCACGGCCAGCGATGCCCGAGATCTAAATAAACTACATGTAAGCGGTCCTACTGTTTTCATAGTAGCCACAACGTCCATCACCATCACCCACGGTCTACAGGCCTGCTATTGTAGCTACATGTATGTACAGTCGGGGTACAGAAGTTTTGGTTGACAAAATTTATATGGGAACACCATACAAAATCAGAAACACTCAAATCACGACTTTAAAATTAGATCACACAGACCTGAAGAATGGACTTGAAATTCTAGAATTATCTGAGCTCCATCTTGGGATAATTTCTAATTGTCCTTGGAGGGTTGGAATTTTTTGTCCAATCCTGAGTGGTGGTTTGGGTCGCTAAACATGGGCACTTTGGCTGTAAAAGGTCCCGGTACTATAATTTTCCATTATCAGACCCGCACGTATACGTACCGGGTGTTGACGGTAAATACGAAGAATCTGATAAGAGAATCTTGCTGTGAAATAGGTGTGTTTATCTTATCAGATTCTCGGTATTTAATGTTAACCCCCCGGTACATGTACATGATGTAGTTACAGCGTGTGGTAAAAATTACTGCAGAAGTATGGAAAGAGTCCTATTGGCCGAGTCAGCCACTTAAACCTTGTTTTTAGACTCCTGTTTCTACAATATTTAATTCTACTCTCGCTGTATGATAGGCTCAGAAACAAGTACATACATAATATGTGCAATTTTTTTTTCTAGTTTGGCGAGCCCGTCACCAGTGGATTTAGAGTAGCCAATGATGCATTTGTTAACAGGAGCACTCAAGCCTTATGGAGTAATTACATACATGTATTATCCCTTAAACCGTCAGGCCGAATTGCAACGAGACACAAACCCTTTATGGTAGTCGTGATATAAGTAGCGCTTGATCTTGAAATTCTGTTGCAACCTGTCACGCATGATGAAGACTACAACCTCAAGTCTCTAGGCGTTGATCCTATCATGTTTCCGAAAAGGGTTTAAGTGCCTCTGATTGTAATTCTGCCTGACGGTTTAAAGGATACAGAATTTACGAATATTTACTACATGTAGTTACATTTATTAAGTAGGTAATCTTTATAACTACATATGCTTATGTATCACAAACGATGATATGAGGTAGTTACTTTAAAAAAGTTCGTGATAGGCTTTGACTTGAGGCGCGCTGGGTATGTAACAATTGCCTGTCAGATTACGAAATACAATCACTCTTTAGAGTGGCTGCACCTTATTCTTTAAGCTACTCACGCGTTCACTAGGCCGTCGGATACGGTTGAAACAAAAGGATCTGAGGACTTAATGACTGCGAGAGTACAGTATATACCTTCAATATTCCTGTGGCATAGCTGGGTTGAGGTCACTACATACACCACCAGCTACTACAGCGACCCTCCTCTCACTACTTTCCGTACGAAATCTTCCAATATCTGATACTGTTCATTCATTAGCAGCACAAGAATGCACAAGTAACGCCTGCACGAGTAATCCTCCCGCAATCCCCACCATTACCCTCAATTCCGAAGAAACAAACAATAAAAACGTTAAATCAATATCGGTTTACTCCCAGTCCTCTTCACTACTTGCATCATCTTCCGAATCATCCTCCTCCTCGCCCTCCTCCTCTCCATCCGGTTTAGATACCTAGAAACTTTGTCAGAGTTGACAGCTACGAATAAATAGACAAGTACAAATATACCTTTGCTGCTTTGGGACTGCCTGTGGCTTGACTTGGAGCCTTTGATGGTACCCCCGATACTACATCGTAGCTTGACTCGCTATCGGGTTGTGATGTTACATCAATAGAGTTTTTTGGTTTCAATAATTCTTCTTTAGGAATCAAGGTTTCCGTAGAGGCTGCCGGGGCAGTGTCTGTCTTAGCAGTCGGGGCTAAAGTGGCGGCTGAAGTAGCAGCTTGTACAGGAGGAGAAGTAGCAGTGGGCTTCGGTACTTCCTTTGAAGACTTGGGCTTTTCATCGTCCGAGCTTTCCTCCTCCTCATCCTCGTCATCCTCATCCCATGCCACTTCTTCCTCGTCAAGGGTAGTGGCACCTGTCCAGTCAGCTGCTAGCCCTCATATGAAGCATAAATTTCATTTTTACCTTTGAGCAATTCCTTTCTCTTCTGTTCCTCCATGTCTAGCTCATTTCTTAAAAAGTAATATCTCCTCCAGAAATCTCCGTATTGCACTGAATCCGGTACAAGTTTCTCCATTGTGCTCCTGAGTTCGGGATATTTATCTAGATCAGCGGCGATTTGTTCGGTTTTTTTATCTGCCGAGAAATCCTTTGACCACTCTACAAATGTCGGCTCGGTAGAATCTGTTTTAAAAAGCTCCAAGTTTCCATGTAAAAGATGGAGCTGGGCATCAAGCCTAGTCGAGCTATACGTCCCTTAATTTGAATACATACCCTCTTGAGAAGATGAGGAATAACTTACTAGATTTGTCTCTTGCCCTCCTCGCCTTTTTGCTCAAACACAACCTCTTTCTCCCCAGTCGCCTCATCACTCCCTTCCGGCGGCCGAATAGTAACAGCCTCTTTCAAGAAGTTGCCGATGTTTGTTCCGAACCTGAGTAGGTACTCATCGGCCCTGGCTTCGGCGGCCTCGATCTCCGAGATTCTCTGCGCAGCGCCCTTTTTTAATTTCGACAGCAAGCCCTCTTCTGCCACGGCCTTCTCGTTCGCTCCCGCCACAGCTCCATCCTTTGATGTCTCTCCCGTCTGTTGTGTTTTCTGAGCCCCCGTTGAAGGTGCCCCGCTCTGGTTGATTGAGAGCGATCGAGTTCGACTAACTATTTCGGACCTGACGACGCTGAAGCCCTTTGAGGCTTGCTCTGCTCTTGTTGCGGCCTCCTTTTTCCCGACTTCGTAATATGATTCTCCCTGTTCATTACATCAATACCCGTCTCACTATTTAAATGCACGTAGGAGCGAAAACAGACCTGCTTCTTTACAGTTCCGATAAAGCTTCCAAACTTTGCGCCCCATGGAGAAGCCGATATGGCCCTGTAGGCCTCCTGGAACTCCTCATTCAGCGACTCCTTCGGCCTCTCTGGATCTTTCCCTTTTCCATCGCTCGGGCCTGATGCAACGGTCTCCTCTTGAATGTGGTCATATGCAAACTCCATGACAAAAGCCAAGTATTTCTCCTCTCAACGATGTTCTCGTAGGTGGGGAGGCGCCGATTGTTATCGGAAACCTAGCTCGAGGGGTAGTTACCGATTAGTGTTAGCGTTTAATTGCTTATTGCTGATTGCAACAAGGGCAGGTCTGGGCAACTTGAGAAAGCTCTATAGTCAAACATGTGTGTACCTATAGTACCATATTGCAATAATCAAACGATTTTAACTAATAGTGAGTAAACATCCGAAATTGGTTACAAAGAAAAAGAAAAAAACGTAACACCGCCTCAGACCGCCTCTTATCCCTTCTTGACTACCAATATCATATAAATCATTTCCTTCTGCCCTCACAAAGTCTATTTGCTGAGAAACACGCTAATGAACAATTATTGCAATAACTAATTTTCCCTACAAGCATTTTAATAAAAATATCTACTTCCATACGTTCCCGAACAGATCGTCCTGACCAAAACCGGTTGTCTGCACTGGTGCTCCTGATGTTGCAGCTCCTCCAGTACTAAATGCGCCCCATTCATCATCCTCACTACTCTTCGCGGGCGCCATAGACGAAATTCCTACCATTGAAGTAGGTGGCTTACTAACGGATGTGGTTGCCGGTGAGCCCCATGCGTTGGAGGCAATGCTAGCGCTTCCTATCGACGTCCCCCAGGCAGACTCATTGTTTGAAGCCGTAGAGATTGTCGCAGCCGGTGCAGCCCATGCATTTGCATCAAATGAGAACTGCGGCGTGGTTGGCTGTTTAGGGGCAGTGGCATTAGTGGCAGTCAAGTTAAATGCACTCATAGTGGACATGGCCGGTGCAGCCACTGCAGGCGCAGGTGTCGAGGAAAAGTCAAACAAATCGTCCATGGCAGACGACCCACTAGTCTTTGAATAAATTGATTGCTTTGTAGATGTCGAAGACCCAAAGAATCCATTGCTTGAAGTAGGCGATAGTTGAGAACCAGCCGAGGACTTCATCATCCCGGCTGTTAGGTTTGCAAATGGAGAAGGCTTGGGCGCTGTTGATTGGGCAACGGGTATGGTGGATATAGAGGGACCGGTGCTTTGTGAAGAAAACCCAAGCCCTCCAAATGCGTCATTAAGATCTCCGAGACCTGAGGATACCGTATGCTGGTGAACCGAAGGCTGTGACATACCAGAGAATGAAGAGTTCTGGGCATGTTGGGTCCGAGGCTGCGGCTTGGAGGCATATAGAGAGAGAATTGACCTATTGAGATCAGGCCGAGATGAGGCGGTGTTTGTTACTGGGTTTGAATTTACGGAAGCTGGGCGAGCTGGAGTCGGGTCCGACGATCCAAAAAAATCTAAGCCCAAAAGAGAATCGGCCGGCTTTGTAGACTTTGGTGGAGCAGGAGCACTCTTGGGGGAAGGTTGATTCTTATTTCCCGGAGGTGCGGTAGTGGACCTTGGCAGCTCCATTGGAGAAAGATCATCGAAGAGGTTAATGGTTTGCTGTTGCTTCGGTGCTTGTTGCGCCGTGGGGGGGGAGGATGTTTGTCTGTTCTCCAGCTTCTGCTGGACAACTTTCAAAGGCTTGAAAAGCGAGTTAGTGGGAAGGAATTATGCACGAAAAGAATAAGCTACCAGATTGTCCTCTTCTCCAGAATCATCAAGGGTAGATGGGTCAGGCATTCCGCCTTCCATAACCCATCTTTTGGCATCATATTTTGTGCGTACGAAGTTTTCAATTTTCCTACTCTAGGTCAGATCTTTCGTCCAATTAATTTTGAGAATTCCCGACAAAAAGGTGCGTACGCTTCTGACGGCACGTGTCCTGGCGCAAGATTCGCTTCCCAATACCTGGTTCGATGGTTAACTACTATCATGTATAAGAAGGTGTCTAGCTATCCATACTTGTTCGCCTTAGTGTTTCCCCATTTCAGCATGCTAGCCAACTGTTCATCCGTCCATGTGTCAAGATCCACAGACTTAACTATGATGTACATCAACATTAATAACCACTTAAGTAGCTTCAATGAGAGCTCCAAAGAAGCTCCATACCTTTGCTGATATGAGTACCCATTCCTCGATGTATGCCAGAGCACCTATACAGCTTCAATGTTAGCATCTATCCGCAATGACAAGCTTCACAATAAGGGCACTAGAACCGACCTAATACATATGAAAAGTCCCAGATTCCAGCTAGCCCATCTAGGAAGCTTATTTCTCTTGCAATCAGCGCATATCTTGTTTCCAGGCAGCTTAAGTAGTGATTTGATGACGGCCTGATTTGCAGCGGCTTTGTCGGCAGCTTTGGCAGCAGCAGGATTGGGGCGCCGAGACATGCTTAAGTTAAGGCGAGACGTGGGAGAGAGATTTTAGGTGAGGGAGAGGTTCAAAGTTGCTGTATAAAGGTGCTGGTAAGGAGACGAGGTGGAAGTAAAGCGTCAAGTTTGATGATCCTTCAGAGCGTAGGAGGTTCGTCGTTACTGTTGCCAGAAATGGGGTTGACCCTCCTTTTTTTCCTTGTTTCATGGAGGGGACACCACGACGGCGCTGTGAGGATCATTTGGTAAGCAACTCCAATGTGACCTTGGCATCATTCTATAAACGAATGAGATGAGATAACCTATTAGTCAGCGTTTGTACTCTGAACTGTGAATCCAGACAAAGCTGTTTAATACTCATTTCAAAACTAGAAGCTTTTGATGCAGGCATGTAGCAGATTTAATAAATGACTGAGGGTATCACTCAAAAGCCAGTCACCGCGATTATAATAACAGCCTAAAGGTTCACCGACCTGGGTCCTAATTACACAAAACATGTATGTACTTACCTACACCGCTTTAATGAGAGCATGAATACTCATCCATTATTCTCACATGCGGCTGAAGCAAGCATTCCGGTTAAATACTCCACATACATATGTGGTTTTTGTCCATAGTCAAGTACTCAAGTTGTGGTAAGCAGCCTGCTGTCAAAGACAGACTTTAGTAAACGGTTTTCTGGGGTACCCTTGTGGCCGCAGCCGGGAATTTTTGAAAAGTGTCCAGGAGTGGAGAATACCATTTATTCATCTACCGGTGATACTCTAAGCGTATTGTTCTATGGGGATCTTCTAGAGTAGGTCACTCGGGTTCCAGCCCTTCCGCCCAAGAACCGGTTGACCGTAGTACCTACCATCGATGAAATATCACTGGTAGGAACATCGCCTTGGCAATACTCGGTTACCAGAAAGCGTTAGAATGATTGTCTCCCGCCGTTCGGAAAGGGATCCATAATTTTTTTTTTCCCTTGGTTAGTTGAAATTGCCGTGGGTAACGGGCTAACAGCAAACAGCTGTCCTCTTGCATCTCGTGTTAATTATCTCCCCCCTCTCTCCCTTTCTCCTTTTCCTCTTCATCCGTCTCACTTATCTAGACACCCCCACTTGCCTTATTGTCCACCACAACATTCTTTCAACAATTCCTAACTAGATAATCAGTCGCTTCCTTCAGCTTCAATATAAACCACGATGTCAGAAACTACCTTTACTCTTGAGCAGGTCAAGGAGCACCAGTCCAAGAAGGTACGGCGAAATTCATCCCACCAGAAATTTCACTACTTCAAGCATCTCTGGAATACCATGTTTTTTTCACTCGGTGGCTTTCGCAACCTAACTAACACTCCCCCTACGATCAACAGGATTTGTGGATGGTCATTCACGATAAGGTTTACTCCATTTCTAGTTTCGTCGATGAGCACCCGTACGTAATTCAGCTCCTTAAGCGCGGCGGCACTTTGTATATGTATATTCTGCTAACACCGCCCCCCGTGCGATAGAGGTGGTGAGGAGGTCTTGATGGATGTTGCTGGGGTAGATGCTACTGAGGCTTTTGAGGTACGGCATTTATCACAAATTTGACAGCTTTTAATTTGGTATTGAATGAATACTCACCCTGGTACTAACTGCAGGATGTCGGGCACTCGGATGAAGCACGTGAAATCCTGGCAGGGCTTTTGGTTGGAAACCTGAAGAGAAGTGTACGTATTTGGCAACTCACATCTGATTTCGTTGATATTTGGGCGTCGCTCACCTCAATCTTTAGCCGTCCGACAAGAAGCCTGTCGCCTCCGCATCAAAACCTACGACAGCGCAATCATCATCGACAGACGCCGGAGTGTATGTCCCCTTTCCCCTACTTCTGCTATCAACCTTGCCATATAATCACTCGGCTTTAACAATTACCGATATCTTAAAACCCACTCTCATCCACACCATCGCTATTGCCTTATCTCTCTTTCTCCCCTAGAATAATGACTAATATCTGCTCATAGTGCTCTCTATGCCTTTTTTGCGGTTGCCGCCGTCGGTGCTCTGGTTGCCTACAAGCTCTATGCTTAAGGTAGGCTTATGGGGGCGAGGGGGATTTTGACAAATGTTGAGGCAGGGGGACATTCTGTACAACGCGTGTTTCTGAAGTTAGATGGTTCCAATGCGGTACTTAAAACCTTCGGGGCGTTTCTGTTTGCTTTTTGTAATGTTCAGAAATTGCTACCATATAACGTTATTATGGAAAATTGTAATAGATTTGGAGTTTTCTTCTGTGGATTTTCAAAATTTTGCTCCCCGAGTTTATTCTTTACGATTCACTCGAACTTTTCGAATTTTGTGGGGTTCCGCTCAAATACCTACATGTACAGTCGCATGCATCAAGTTCTCGCCGTTCACGATGCAACACCCAACCTCAATACTCGTTACTCAACTACAAGTGAAGATATTTAATAGAGAATACATAGTAGAGTTAAATAGAATATAAAGAAAACGATTTTGAGACTACTATCTAGTATGGCCTCCATTGGCGCCTCAACCCTTAATGGTAATTTATCTAGCTTTGATTAAGACAATGCCCCCCACTCCTCTTGTGCAGTGATAAAAGGTTCATCATCACGATGAGGTCTTCTCTGTCTATAACTTCATTGCCTTTTTAGTGCACTCTTGAGCATTTCCCATGAATTCTCTATGGCATTGAAATCTGGTCATCCAGTAGGCCAATCCTCCTCCTGACTGGACAGTTTGTATCTTTATTTATTTGTACAGTATTTCAGCCCATTTTATGGAGAATAACAACAGCTTGCCACTTGTCATATCTTGAAAATTTTGCAGAGTTCGTGGTGGAGTGGTTATGGTTTGACTCACCGTCAAAAAACGGCGGGAACTTGTTGCATGCGACTGTACCTACACGTCCAAGTAACTCCGTGAATCAGGCGAATGCCCCGGATCCCCCAAATTCCGGCAGAATGATCCGGTTGTTATCTTCAAGCCCTGTCAAATCCAGATTGGATTAGTCTACTATGTAGTAATAAATCGTGCAGGACAGAAGTCATAATTCCTCCGAAAAATAATACTATTAGTATTGCTAATATTATAATAGAATAAACTTTAGCGATTGTCATAGGTCTTTCCCGCTATAGGGTTAGGGTTATGCAAATCCTGCTATGTATCAATTCTGTGACTATGTGCGCCTTTCCACCTTCTGATCCCAAAGCTTCTAGAAATAAAAACGCCCTTGGTTTTGATTATAACTAGAACCACTCCAATTCCAGACTCACAATGCACAAACCTATTCTTGTCTAGAACCTAAACAAAAATGTAAAATGCACAAAATTTTCAAAAAGAATAGTGAAAGTAAGACGATAAAATTGGCGCTGGGGAATAACTAGGAAAGAAACATATAGAAAAAAAAAGAAAAAAAAAAGCGGGACGCCACCCGTTTCCCCTTGGCTAATGCAATCAATTACTTACCACATTTCCTCCTTCTCTTCTTCTTTAATCGTCGGACAAGTACAGTATACAAACATACGGATATTCTTACTGCACAAACAGGGAATCTGGTAAAGGAGGGAAACAAAAAAATAAAAGTAAAAAAACCGAAGAAAAATTATGAGGCCTTTCCCTTATCCCATTGTAATATACTTCGTAATCATACTCTTTCCGCCCTCAGGCTTCTAAAACTAGGTGAGAAAGATTGGCCAACTTATAAAGTACCACTTTCCTTGAAGACAAGGTGCTGCTCGTAGAAGCTGAGCATCTACAGATAGAATGAGTCAGCAATCATATCTGTCATGAGATCTTTTTTTATGAATTACCTTCTGGGGGCACTTGTTGTAGACATCCTGGATGGGGTGCTGTGTTTTCTTTCCATCAGCCCTATATATGCGATATTAGTACGATGTTTGTTTCGATACACATTCTCAAAAGCGATATCTAGGTATCGATGAAGGGAGCCCTACCAGTGAACATAACAAACAAGACCCTTGCTTGTCTTTTCGATGGTGTCGATGGTGGCATCCTCATCCCAATTTTTCTTGGTCGTGAGCTCTACAGGTGCCGGCGAGGCATCATCCCCATTTGACTTCGAAGAAGAGGCGCCAAAAGATGTCCTGGCACGCTTGGTGTTCTTGGGCGCCGCTGATACAGGAGCTGAAGCCCCCCCAGCAGGTTGTCGTCCACGTTTCGGAATTGAGATGGCGCGATACATCGGACGGCCACCAATCTTCTCGTAGTACTCCTGCAAGATTTCCTTTGCTCCCCTGTCCGACAATGCGATCATCAATGTTTGGTCCTTCGAAAGATGTACGAAATACATGAGAAGTATGAACTTACTCGCAATTCTCCTCGGGCTCCCAGGTCATGTCGCTCTTCTTTTCGTATCCCTTCCATTTGACATGAAGGTACAATTTCTATGCAGCGACCACTCATCCGTCAGCAATGATGTTCCATAACTAGCCAAACTAGTACCTGTATTCCTATCCAGACAATCTCAACATACCTTGCCCTCGAACTTGTGGTTTTTGATGGCCTCTACGATAAATTCTTCCCCATCCTCGTCGGCGGCATCTTCCTCATAATCCTGCTCCTCTACGACATCATCTTCAAGGTCGTCATCATCCACAGGCACGGCCTTCCTCGAGTTTCTGGCAGGGATCAGATCGCCGTCTGATTCCGATTCGGACAGTACTTGGGGAGGCATTCTCAATTAGTGTGAGTTGACTGGACTAGAAATGAGGTTGGTGGTGTTGATCGTTGCGAATGATCGTTCGTTGCGGTGGAGATGAGATGCGGGTGTTGGTGTCGGTGGAAAGAAGAACGCGCGAGGAAGACGCGGTATGGAAGTTGGGGCGTTGGTGCTTTCGACTCTGTTAAGCCCCCTTGGCCCTCCCAATCTGGGCGAGACACGTCGCGCCACAGCAAAACGCCACACAATGGATAAAGAATCGCACAATGATTTGCCCAAACAAAGAGAAAAATAAAACAAAGCTCATGTCAAACTAAAAAAGAAAAAGAATAGGCGCCAAACCTTGC